AGAAGATTAGGACAAGTTGAAGCACTGACCTGTATAGGATCTGTCACCTCGTATGACATTAGTCATGGATTTCACTAGTTACTAGGCTTTGAGAGCCCACTTCAGGATATATTGTATTTACTGTGAAAGTTGAATAATGGCAAATACTGAAGAAGTGTTATATGCAGTCAGGCCTTTAACTGCCTCTCTTCTTTAACTGCCTCTAAATATACCTTTCATTCTTTATTTACAGTTTACACCAGTAGTCTGAATTTGCGAATTTTTAATGTTGGATTTGATAATATTTTACTAATGTAATATGTAGTGTGCATGATTAGGGTTTTTTTAGCAAAATGAGTAGAAACGTCATCCTTTGTAACTTGCTAATATCCTCATTGAGACATAAATGGCGGTGAAATACTTACATCCACAGCAGAGGACATTGCTGTTGGAAGGAGCACACACTCTTCGAAGTACTAGGCTTTAACTATCCCTGTGTCTCAGTAGTTGGAAGTAAGACACTGGATTCCTTTGTGTCTTCCTGTTTCAGTGGAACAACAAGATTTGGAAGTTAGGATTTTGTTCCAGACTGTGGAGAAGAGCTAGTCTGAAGGTTAGAGTCTTGTGTTTTGTTATTTACAAGCTGGTTAAGATTTTCAGTGTTGTGTGTCCTTTCTCATCCATTCCTCTTTCAGAGCTAATGTTCTTGCCCTGGGTCTCTTTCCCCTGAAAGTCTCAGTTACATGCTGGTGGTTCATTGCTGCATTTGTTTCTCTGCAGTCAGCTGGTCCTCAGCACTCTGTTTTTCAGTCAGATTTCTTAATCTAATGATGGACCTTTTCAAACTCTCTATCACTAGAACCAACTAGGTTCGGATCAGCTGAGGTCCCTGTGAGTCCAGGTGTATAAATCATTTATTTCAAGTCTCTCACCATGTGGTATTGTGGTTCTTTTGTACCCTCTTTTGCTTTCAAGCAATAGGCCCACATCCTTGGCGCTTAGTTCTCAGTCCTAGTCATCCTAATCAGTCAATCCAAGGCCTCTAACATAAATCACCGGTTTCATTCATGCTCAAGAGCAGACCCTTGTTTTCCGTTCTCCCATTCTACTGCCACACAGATCCTCCTCTGTCCGATTTACCTTACCTTAGCACTGCCTTTGGAAAGTATAGGTGAGACAGTCTCTCTGTTATCTCAATATATGGATTGGAAAAGAGAGAAAAACTGCATTATGGGAGATACGTAGAATCAGTCTTGGGATGGGAATTACTTTGTGCAGGTGAAATCTTTAATGATTTCAGTTTTCAGCTATTACATGACTCTCCTGACCTTGTTGTGACTGCACTTTTCAAAGCCTTATTATCTTGTCCAAGTTTGAGTAAATTTTCATCGCACGCTGGATTTAAGTCCCTATTCCACATTATGGATGAGACCCAAAGGTTTCCACAAAGAAGTAGATAGAAGTTTTGCAAAGACAAACTGGTGTATTTTCCCCCACCCACTTTGTTTTCAGAAGCTCATAACTGGGATGAAACGACACCTGTTTCGATTTACTTCAGCACCATGATTGTGAAGGTGTCCAGTTACTACTTGTACCTATGAAATATTCTTTAAATTCTTGACTTTGCTTTTAGAAGTATGTTTGAGTGGATTTACCAACTCCACTTCCTAGGCTGGATTTCTAATTTCTTAGAGAGCAAGAATCCAGTCATAGAATCATAGAATAGTTAGGGTTGCAAAGGAACTTAAGATCATCTACTTCCAAACCCCGTGCCATGGGCAGGGACACCTCACACTAAACCATGCCACCCAAGGCTCTGTCCAACCTGGCCTTGAACACTGCCAGGGATGGAGCATTCACAACGTCCCTGGGCAACCCGTTCCAGTGCCTCACCACCCTTACAGTAAAGAATTTCTTCCTTATATCCAATCTAAACTTCCCCTGTTTAAGTTTTAACCCATTACCCCTTGTCCTATCACTACAGTCCCTAGTGAAGAGCCCCTCTCCAGCATCCTTGTAGGAACCCCTTCAGATACTGGAAGGCTGCTATGAGGTCTCCATGCAGCCTTCTCCAGGCTGAACAGCCCCAACTTTCTCAGCCTATCTTCATATGGGAGGTGCTCCAGTCAGTTGTGTTTTTTTTTTCCTGGAAAGGAAAATTATTAAATATTTAACTCTTCTGTGAAAATATACATTTGCAGAATTACCACCTGTTTTGAGAAATGACCATCTAAAATTTTAATAATTGTAGGGTGTTTTTTTCTCATTTGTTAATCAAATGTTTTTTTAAGTATCATCTTGATGTCATGTATGACTAATTTTATATTGGTGGTGGAAGCTTCCTAATGTATATAGGAATAGCAGAGGCTTTCAGTGATTATTGCTTTTATATTCTTTCTCTTTAAATCTCCCTGCATCCCCCCCCCCCCCCCCCCCATTTCTAGTAACAGCTAGCATAAGCCACTAGTATATAAGGAATGCCCCTCAGAGATGTTTACATTATATTTTCTAAAGAATTTTTTTCTCTATTTTTTTCTACCTTTCTTCCCAGAAAACTGATTGGTAGTCAAAAAAAAAAATAAAAAAATCTGTAGAGTGGTTCCATTCAGGTCAGGTCAAATTTGCCAAACCTATCAGCTTGAAAAAACAATTAAGTTCTGCAGATCTCTACTTTATGACTAGCAAAATAGTTTGTTTTGTAAAGCTGTAAAGTGGATGTTAAGGAATATAGTACCAGAGAAGAGGTAAAAACCACATTTACCAATACCAGAGTTATCAGTCTCTTACTGAAAAATATGGTGCTCTACCCTAAGACCTTCTGCAGGGGGGTGAACCTGTGTTTTTCTTCTCCTGAAAGAATGCTTATATGATCTGGGCCATTCTAGGTAGACCAATTTTGATCTTTTATTCTGAAAATGTTTTATTCTGTCTGAATTGTACAAGGTGGGTGTAAGCTATCAGTTTGTTTTGTTTTGTTTTCTTAATACTCTCTGCAGCCCCAATTCCTCTGTACATGCCTCAGCCTTTCACTTACTCTAAATATAGGTCAGCATTGCCCTAAGCTGGCTATGGAGATCAAATTGGCTCTAGATTGCCTTGGAATTGGCAAGAAGTAGATGAGCTGCACTGTCTTCTTTTTCTGACTCAAGCGCCATATAAGTAAATAGCCCATACAAAGTAGACCTAGACCTGCATTAGCTGAAGAAACACCAAGGCAGGTAACCTTTAGCTTCATGCATTGTCCTTAGAGCTAGAAGATGATACTTCTGTAATTTTTGTAGCTTCTTTTCCATTTATTACCGTGCTTCTCTTCATGGGGCTGTAATCTGATAGATTAGCTAGGAAGCTAATAGAAATAAATTGCAGTTCCCACAACCTCAATCTTTGGTGTTCCAGCAAACATGATGTGGAAAAACAGTAGTGACCCTACTACTTATTTAACTGAGATTTGAAGAAAAACTTTAGAAATTTAGACTGCATATGTCTGGCTAAAAAAAAATCCCCCACCTCTGTGAGGCTCTGTCTATGCTTCAGATAGCAGTCAGCATCCAGAAACACTCTTGACATGATTAGTAAGGACTCCATAAGATAGGCTTTACTAGGCCTTTTCAGAAGTACCTAGGTGGTAGGATCTCATTCAAGATCTGATGTTTATCTTTAACTGTGCAGATACCTTAGGTATATTTTTTCAGTCTGGCAGTGTTTATTAAAGTTCATAGGTTTATATTATTATGGGCTGAAAGATATAATTTTTTTTCTGTTGCACTTTAATTTGCACCTAATATTAAAAAGAGCTGGGTCTGGGGGTCGAATTCATGCACTGGCAGCTTTGTGTTAATTCTTGGACTTCCAAGAAGGATGTAGTTAAAAGATGTTGCCTAGGAAAGACAGGTATATATCCTCAGAGACTGGATTGATACAATGGTTTATTTTTACATATTTGTGTGGTCCCACTGATAATTTATATCTAACTGCTGTTCTAAAAGACTATTTGAATAATAATTGCGCAAATATTGCAAGCATATAAATGAACATGACCACCTGTAACATGCAAAACTATATTGTCCCATCCATCTAAAAGTTATTTTTAAATTCTGTTATTATACAGATCTTAACAGGTACATAAAAGAAGAGGAATGTATGTGGCAAAGTTAGCTGTATTTCTACTACTTTTTGCATTTAATAGCACATGTACTATAAAGATACCCTTGTTTCATCACAGATGAAATACCAGGATATCACTCAGGATACTTTTCTTACTTGCTACTGTCCTATATTTAAAGACAGGAGCTATGGGTTAGCATGTATGGAATGATTTTTTCATACAGGTATGAATATTGCCTAATTAAGATACCCATGGTACTTCTCACATATATAATCTTCATGTTGTCATCTTTCTAGAATTCATTCTTTCTAGGCAATATATGATTAGATCATAAGACTTTCTTTTAAACTGGTACTTGATAAATTATATTACAGAAGGTCTTAGTACAGCTATGCAGATATTTAGATTAGTAGTCATTATTCAAATTACTGTATATTCACATAGCAATCTACCATTTTGGTATCAAACACTGAAGTTTTTCAGAGAATGTCATTTGACCTTCAAGTCTAGTGAACAGCTTGAGATTAGGAAATCACTGACTAAAATTAGTGAAACTTATGTAATAACACAGGAGTGGAAAAAGGAAATAATTACATAACTAAAGGAGCAAAATAGCGTACATTCTTATTTTTAAGTCTGCATGAATATTATCATATAACATTACATTGCTTTTAGATACTGTCAAACAGCATAATACTCTTAGCTTCCAAAAATGTGTTTTGTTTTGCTTTCTTCTTTTTGGTTTAATATTGCTACTAAGTAAAAGACTGTAGGATTCTATTTTTTTTTTTAAACAAAGAAAGGGAAAATAAAATACAGTCACCTCTGGGCAAATTCTTACAGTGAACAACAGCAGCAACAACAAAAGAAGATGCTTACACTTTTATTCCTTATGGATTTCTTTTTAATATTTCAGCGCAATGAACATATGGCTGTTGCTATCAGCACTGGTGTATTTGCAGCGATGCCTATCGACATCCACCAGAGAGCAGGGCAGCTCCAAAACCCACATCTTTTACACTGTGGAAATTGATGGGTACAGCAACACAGCCAGCTTCTTGGCCAAACAACATGGAATGCAGTTCATTTCAAAGGTCAGCGCATATTTAAACTTGCTTCATTACTCCCACCTTTATGCTTGAGATTTTCATTTTTTCAAAATCAGTTTACCTAGAGGTTCCTTTAGAGACAGAAAAATGAAAGTGCTGAATCCTATTTTCATTTGGGGATATCAAGCTTTTTATCAAATTATAGAGGTGGCGTTTCAGAATATTTCATATCTGATCAGAAGGAAAATCCAAAAATAATTTTCTCTTTATTCAGGAGTCTTTCAGGCACTGGGACTGTTTTATTTATTACTTAATATTGTGCTCCAGTCAATCATTTTGAATTCAGACAGGAAAATGGAATTTTTAGTTTTAAAAGGAAAAAATCAGAAGGAAAAAAATGCAACTGGAATAAAGCAGATTTTGTTTTTAAAAATACAATTATGTCTTTTCTTCCTCTGCTATTTTATTTTCCTTTAAGCACAGTGCATTAATATGAAGACATATATAAAACATATATAAAAGGGTCTTATATAAGATACTATTTTAGTTAATTACAGGCATTTTATTTCAGAGCATTTCTACATCTGTCATTGATCTTGAGGAATTACGGCCTTGTAACACAATCAGGGAATAACCTTTTTCTTTCTTTGGACAGGTGTCTCAATACTTATTTTCTGTGTGTGTACTGTGTTTGTGGGTATAAATATGAGGTATGTATTTATATTTCATTTAGCTTTAACTTTCCATCAGAAGAAGGTTGTTCCTAAAGTGTATGTTAGTACTCTGGTGCACAGCCTAAATAGAGGAAACATATTAATATCTCAGTTACAGTTACTGGTCTGTAAAACTGGACATATAGATCACAAATAAATTATGAAAACTTTTAATACATTATTCTGTATCAGCCTTCATTCATTGACCTGAAAGTTCTTTGACAATCTTAATGAATTAAGCCTTTCAATGCTCCTGTTGCTTTTATCTCTGCTTTTCTGATATGAAAAGCAGAAGTAGACTACGTAAAACAGTTTGTTCAAGATCGTCACGGGGAGTCTGTGGTCCAGTGAGAAGTGGAAAATATATTTCTAAATTTTTGATTTTGTGCTCTGGCTGTAAGAAATTATCCTAAGAGGGAAAACATAACGAGCTTATGAAGAAGAGGCATTGTACATACCTCAGCAGCCAGTATGGTCTACCCTAGTCATGAAAATCACTGAAGAGCCCTGAGGAAAACTGCACCCAGTTTTGTTACAAGAACAGTGACACAATCTTCCGGATGTGTCAGCCTTAGAGTATAAATATTAAAATCGATAGAGACTGTTATAATGAGGATGTTAATTTAAAAACCCCAATAAACAATACTGTGGTGTTAGACATTAAGTATTCCTGTAAAGGCTGACTGCAGTGTCAGGTTGCTAAAAAGGGTTTCTTCAGGTTTTGGTAAGCACAGAGGTGTTTTGTACAAGGGGGAATAGGTGACAGTTTCTATTGCTGCACAGTCTGGGCACTACTTACAGCTAGGTTGCTGGAAAAAAATTTTGGTAGTATAACAGAGCCAACCACACTGTATTCTTTGTTTTGTAATATTTATCCAGGAAAACACCTTTTTTATTACAGTGTTTATTAATAAGAAAAAGCAAAAGATGGAAAGAGAAATGCAGATACAGGAAGGCTTTTCTCCTGGCCTCTCTGTGAATTTCTGATTTCTAAGGTGTTGTACAAGCAGCAGATACCTTTCTTAGCATTCTCATTTCAAATATGAAAAAAAAGCTGCTGTGGTATTTAAGGCTTATGGTCTTTAAGCCACAAGGAGCACTGGTAAAGTATTAAAGATTCAAATATGTTTAGGCTTAATATTTTTTCAAAGTTTTTGTTGGCTTGTAATAAGCTTACAGCATGAGCTCTGTGATAAGACAAGATAATACTAAAATATTATTTGGAAAAATAAACCTGTAAAACGTGATAAAACTTGTTGTCGCTAAAATTTCTGGGTAGTCAGGAGTATTAGTAGTATTGCAGCTAGCAGTTATGCTCCTATTTTGGGTTCCTGTATGACAAAGCATTTGAAACATATATTTAAGTTCAATCCTTTTTCAGGATAATAATCATAATCATGTGCCTAAGTTCCTTTGAAATAAATAGGATCTAGGCATATGCTTAAGTGCTTTATTGGATAAGGCTGGACTACTGAATGGGGCTCTTAGTGAAGAAAACAGTTTTGTATGAGAAAAGTGGCATCAAAGACTGAAAATGCTATCTTTTAAATATGCTACTGTCACCACAGGAAACAGGCTCCTGTAGAAATGGTAATTATCTATAACTGTGACATCCTTGCTTCAGCATGTTAGTTGCAATTTAGAGTTGCAGTTTAAAGGAATAACTTCCCTTTGGCATAAGTGTACATTTTTACTATGATGCAGTGAATAAAGACAGTGAGTTAAGTGTGTTACTTTGGAGTGCTTCCTCTCAATAAATGTCATTACTTATTAATATGCAGATACTTGGCAACAAAGTAGGAAAATTTTAACTGTGAAAAAGGCTACTGGTTTTTATCACACTGGAATGTACTTCTTCAAAGTGGAGCTCTTGAATGACATTTAGTATACAAAATCCAAAATGTTCAACTCTTGACATTGATTGCAATAGCGTTTCATTTCACATTCTGTACCAGTTACCAATAGAAACAGTGTAGGCAAAGTATTCTTTTAAAACTGAACTGTTATGATTTTTTTTAAACTTCAAAACAGTGACTGAAAGTTTCTGTAATTAAAACACTCATTAAATACAGTGAAGCTATGCCTAGTGTGTAAGAGTCTCACCAGTTCTAAACACAATATTTTGCAAAGAAATACTTGCTTTGGTTCTAAGGTTTGCATTTGTAGTTGATAGAGAATACAGCAGATATTAAAATAGTTGTATCAGAGGTGTACATTAGAATAAAATATATGTTAGGGTTTTTTCATACAGTTGTATTTTCAGTCAGCTCAATTCCTTTTTTTTTTTTTTAATCACTATTGTAATGTAAACTGCAGGGAGTATTGTCTCTATACTGCAAAAAGGACTTTTATAGTACTGCTAGGTGGCAGGAATAGAGGATATAGTTCGAGCCACTTCAGTTTCATTCTCATTTCCTTTCCCACTGTTTAAGGCAGAGGTTGTAGAGAAGATACAGACTATTGCATTTCTCTAGGCTCAACAGGGAAGGAGATGGTAAAAGAGTAAAACTTGAAAAGGGAGTGCATGCACACTGTGTGTTGTCAAGAACAATGTCTTCTTTTGGCTGCATAATGTCTCATCCTTACCTCAGTGCAGTCAACAGAAACCTTCCCATTGACTTTCAAGGGAGTGCAGAGTAAGAAATGTTTTTATGCAAATGTACCCAAGTAGCAAATATCAGTTGTACTTCAACTGCATAGGAAAACAGTGAAAAATTGCAGATTTGATCTCAGACTTCCAACTTCCCCAAGTGGGTTTTCTTGTACCCTGTTGGACATTTTCCTTCTGTATAGCAGATATAAAAACGTGAAGAAACACTGGGGAAGTTATGCCTGAAATCGGTTTGTGCTCTGTTCATTTAAAGAAACAAGGCTTTTGCAGAGATGGTTTTATTTGACAGCTCTTTTAGCTGAGATTTTAAAGGGATCAGGAAGTGTAAATAGTTTCACAGAAGTCAGACAAAAGAAATCAAGTTTTTATTTTTATAGATTTTATTTATTTTCTTAATTTGGATTAGTAAAAGTTTTTCATAATGGTGAATTTCAACCTCAAACTAGGAAAGGTAGATAGTGGCGGAAGTCAAGTTGTCAATAAATTACAGTTATATTACCAATGTATTAACTGCTGAAAAAACCCTGTCTAATTGCTGAAGCAGTTTTGAAGATTTTGATAAATGCAAGCACATACATAAGTATAACATATAGATGAGTGTATGCTTTGGGGACTGGGCTAGACGATCTCAGGAGGTCCCTTCCAACTCTAATGATTCTGTGATTTGGTGACACACCTCCATGATACATACTTATCCAAGTGTATAAATACAAGTATGTTACAAATCTAATTTACAACAAAGTTTCCTAGCTGTATTTATTTTTCATCAGCAAAACTCTGAAAAGTATTATATAAAAGGTCCATGGTGTTTGGGAATTATGTCTAAGAATTTATTCTTGATAATGCACAGTGGGAACACCTGCAGTGAAGTTCTCGATCTTCCTAAATTTATATAGAAACTCCAAACAGGTCCTGGATTTAAAAAAGAAAAAAAAGAATGAAATTAGGATTTGAAATGAATTATTCTGATCAGGAGTCAAAAATTGATTGTATGTCTACATATATATATATATATATTTAGAAGGTAAAGTCAAGCTGGGCAGCAAACCCCACTTTTAATAAAAATGGGTTTAATACAGATACTTTCTAGGAATAAAACCAAGAATGGTGAATGACATTTTGACTGTGAGTAAAGTTAGTTTAATATTCTCTCTTTCATTTTTTTCTCTCTCTTCTTTTTCTTCCTTTTTGTCTTTCATTGTCTATTTTGTTCTCCTCTTTTTTAATTTCCTTTTTCAGTCCAGCAAAATTTGTAGCGATTTCATGATAACTTATGCTTTCCAAAGTCTGTATTTTCTTTATTAAGCTTCTTAAGAAATTTTTCAAGCTGTAACCAGAGCAGGTATAACTTGATGTTTCTGAGTGTATTTATTATTCATATTTTGTGATAAATCTCTTCAATATTATTGTACCTTTAAAAGCTGAAGTACACAAAATATAAGAAACTATGGAATGCAGAGCATTCTGGGATGAGCATTTGTCCCTGTGTGATTTTATTTTATATATATATATATTCTGCCACTTTTATTTATCTGGAAAAAAAACCACTTTTATTGAAATTACTATTTAAAATATATTTTTTTCCCTATGTGGCATAAGGTTGTTACACAAAACAAAGCAGTAGACCAAGACTTTTAAATAGGAAAAAAAAAGCGGGGGGGGGGAAGTGTGTTATGGGTTTTGATTATTGGCGGAGTTAATTTCTTTGCCTTCGACTGATA